AAGCTTCTAAGTCAAAAAGAATTGATTTAGTATCAAAATTGCATCACAGATAACGTTAAATTCAACCGTTATCAAAGACCTGAAAAGCAGAAAAACAACAAATATCAGTTTTTGGTATTTTATAAAGCATGAACTATGAACGTGTAGTGTAGTATCAAAGCAAACAATAATAACCAACAACAAACAAGTTCAATCAAACAACAACAAACAAGTTCAACAAAGAAAACAACAAACAAATTCAACAAATAAGTTCTTCAAAACGAAAACGAAAACTAACCGTCAAAAGGTGGGTTCGTCGGAATAAAGTTTCGTCAGAGTGAGAGAGAAATCAGAATGCGCCTATGAAGGACAAGAGCACAAAAATAATCGGTTAAAACAAACAAAAATCATATCTCAAGTAATTAATTAACATGCATTTACTAGTGTAGAATTGGCCTTTAACGTCACCCCGTAGACGTTGGACCTCAAAATAACCAATGTAAATTATTGACCGGTGGCATTTTCGTAGATAAGTTGGGCATATAGACGTCGGTTAGGGGGGTCCCCGACGTCTATAATATTATAGACGTCGGTGCCCTCCTAACAGACGTTTATATGTCTGACAAGTAGATGAAAAGTTCTTTTTTCTGCCATATAGACGTCTGATCCCGCCATCCCGACGTCGACCCCCCTGTCACAAACGTCTATATGCTTGACAGGTAGGTGAAAAGTTTTTTTTTCGCTATATAGACATCTGATCCCGCCATCCGACGTCTAAATGGCCTGACAGAGTAGGTGAAAAGTTGTTTTGGACGTCGGCTCCCCTTACGTCCGACATCGATATAAACCACAAATATTAATTTTTAAATTGAATGGACGTCATATTAGTGAGGTCCCCGACGTCTAGTCGAGAATAGACGTCGGTGCCCCCTGTGCCCGACGTCTTGTTTCCTGTTATATCAGAAATTGAACTCGTGGTTACGCACACTTCATCGTGTTCCTTCTCGCCTTTTCTCTCTGCAGCATCACATTTCTCGGTGTGTTTTGTCTCTTTTGAACCGTTTACACTTACTTTTACTCTGATTAAATTAGTCTTTGATGGATTATCTTCCATTTGAACTGATTAAAATGAGTTTTCGTTGTGTTTTGGTGCAGTTTTTCTCGTGTCTTTGGGTAGTGTAGTAACACCTTCTCCCTTTGCTAGTTTCCTTGTAAGGAAAGCTTGTGTCTTTTGGATGTCTTATAACATTTCAACCCAAAACCAAACCTAGATGGGCCTAGTTCTCATGTCACGGAATTCGTTTTTATTGCCGGTTGGAATGGAACTAGGCAAGGACCCAGATTCAGTTTTCGGTTGAAATGCCATAAGAGATCCAAAAGATGCAAGCTTTTCTTACGACGAAACTAGTAAAGGAAGAAGGTGTTACTACGCTACCCAAAGACACGAGCTGCAATAGAAGTTGGTTAATGCCATGCCTGACGTCTATAGTGTCCTTAGATGTCGGTTTTGGTGTAATCTGACGTCTTTATAGACGTTAGTTTTGGTGTAAGCCGACGTCTTTATAGACGTCGAACTCTATAGAGTTTAATGTCCCATTAACGTCACCCATAAAGACGTCGGATCAGGATCTGACGTTAAAAGCCCAAAATAAGAGACGTTTAAAGCCCTTTCTGCACTAGTGATTTGTATCAAATGAAAGAAAGATTACATGTGATGCTCGTCAAACTTCGTTCGAGAAAAGTTTGAGAAGAGAAGAGGGTATCACGCGCTAAGATAAAGTGAATGAATTTTCAATCTTCTGCTCAAATTTTTATTGTATTCACTAACCTTTTAACGTCGAATTTAAAAGTCATTTGACGTTATATATCCTTTTACGTCGAGTTACAATTCTAAACGACATTTAATAATTCCATTTATTTACAATAATGTCACCGCTCATTTTTAGCGTTGCTTATTTAGTGGTTGGACGTTGAACGCGTGACATTATACACTATTTTTGTACTAGTACATTCACACATCGGACCCCACCCAACAAATGTGCCACCTTTATTGGACTACCACAGGCCACCATGCGAAGTCTTCTTCTCCAACGCGTCACAACCACCATCTTTGCAAGTTCCACAATGAATCTACCATGCGCTGCCGGCAATCATCACCAGTATGTCCTGCTGATGCAACCAGGCCCAACTGGCCCAAATTCTTTCCGCCTCTGCCAATCCAGCCCATGCAGCCTACAAAGCACTCTATTGCTAGCCATAGAAACACACATGGCTACTCCACTAGCACAACCATAAACAACCCTCATAGACCAGAATAATGCAAACGGATCCCCAATAAGAAATTCCCCAAACTCAAAACCCTAACTTTCTCAATCTGAAATTTAACCCCAATATTGGAATAAACTCCAAAACGTGTTTCAATCCTTGCGTCATTGTCGTATCCCGTCGCGCCTCCGCCGCACTTTCGTAGTGCTCTCGTCGCCTCTGCCATTGAGACGCCTACTGGCCGCCAATAATGAACGTTGCATCTGAGCCGTCGCGTCGCCGCAACCAGAATAAAACTAGAAAGAGAAGATGGAAAAAGAAGAACAACTAATCGCCGCACGAACTCCGCCTGTCACGCCATCTCCACACCATCGCCGTGAGGTCGTTGCCTCTGCTCAAGACACAGGTCATCCTTGCTCCAACGTTGGCTCGTCTACAATGAAGAGAAATTGCAGAAGCTTCAAACATCTAGCTTGTTCGAGATGAGGTATAATGAGAGAAAAGTATTCAAAAAGTTATTTCAGGGTGTTAGGCATCAGTTGGAATTTTAACCGAGGTCATATGGTGTATATGCCTCGGGTCCCAAGTGAACCGAGGCAGTAGATTGATAACGGTTGATTTAACCATTATTTGAGAGTAAATTTTGATAACAAATGAACCTTTTTTGACTTAGAAACATGCTTGTTCTCTTGTTTTTAGCTTATTTTTCTAAATAAGAGAGTTGAGGTTATACTTGAAGATTTTTTTCACTAAATTCCCTTGATTTTGTAGGAAATTGGGATGAATTAGAAGAGGAGTTAAATGTCAAGAATTTGGAAATCAAAAAGGACAGAAAGAGCACCAGAAGAGAAGGCTGCTGAAGGTCACAGGACACTTGGGAGCCCTCCTTTGGGGCCCTCATTGCAGGAGTCTCGCAATCACGCCTGGGCACCCTTTTTGGGGCATTGAGCGCCAATCTTCCTGTAACGTTTCACGCTTGGGCGTCCTAAGTAGGGGCGCTGAGAGGTGTCAACATTGGTCCATGATCCAATTCAGCCCTATTTAAGGATTTGCTTGACCTAGAGGGAGTATCTTTTGATAGAATTGACACAAACTCAGATTTTTCCAACTCTTTGGAGGCAGAAGTGGATGCGAAAGCTCTCCTCTTCAGTTTTTAGGGTTCATCTTTCATTCTCATTCCATTGTTCATCTAGTTTCTCCATGACAAGGGAAAACTAAATTCAATTTGTTGTTGGGGGATGATGTAACCTTGTGAACTCTCATGTATTCGAATTAATTCCAATTTATTTATGCTTCTTTCATTAATTATTAGGGTTATTCTTCTTTTCTCTATTATTCTTATGTTTAACTCATTCCTAACATGAGCATTGGTTTTCTTGATATGGACACATACGGGGAAACCTAGATCTAGAGAATTTTCTCCCAAAAGAAGTATTTCCTAGAAATAGGGATATGAGTTTTGGTTATCTTAAGCTTATAATTGTAATGCAGAATTAATTACTAGTGATACAAGACATTGTGATCTAGTAATTAAGGATAGACTTTCTTCTCGAGACATCGAGTTTTAAGTAATTTAGAAAGTGATATTAACATTAATGAAGAAGATGAATTCATATATGCATAAGAGTAAACTAGGTGAAATCTAAACCCCAACAACATATTCATCTCATATTTTCAATATCATGCATTCATATTTGTGTTTTCTTCTTGTTTTGCATTCAAAACCCTAAAATTGTTCTTCAAAGTCTTAATTAGTTAAGTAATTACATGATTGTCTAGTGTCGTGAGACTCGTGGTTTAAACTATACTTTTGTGTGATTCTTAACCAATTAGACTTTATCTTTAATTTTATCTTTTTATCTTTTATTTTTATCATTTTATCTTTAGTTTTTATTTTGTCTTTAATTTTATCTTTTCTATCTATTAGTGCTAATTGGGTACTCTATTGTTTGGTTCTCTAGTGTATGCATAGTAAAATTCGGACTAGAAGCACAAAAGTTTTTGAACCTCTTCTTGCAGGTTTGGATAACAGTAGAAGAAAAAGAAGGAACAGGACGTCCATAGAAATTTTCCCTTCTCCTAAGACTCTTTTACAGCCTTCACCTTAAAGATATGAGCAGGAAATAGAAAATATGGCTGAAGAGGAAAATGATAGATGTACCTTGGAAGATTATGCAATAGTCATTGGCCCTCGTCATTTTAATAGCATTGCAAGGCCGATGGTTAATGCTGCAAACATGGAGATGAAACCTGCTTTGATTCAATTGGTGAAGAACAACCAATTAAATGGATTATCACATGAAAATCCATATGAGCATCTAACCACATTCAATGAGATATGCAATACTGTAAAGATCAATGGTGTGGCAGATGAAGCTATTAGATTGAGCTTGTTTCCTTTCTCTTTGGGAGGCAATGCTAAGATATGGTTGAACTCTTTTCTAGAGAACAACTTTATTGAGTGGGAAGCCGTGGTTGCAAAGTTTCTGAACAAATACTTCCCACAGTCAAAAGTAAATAAAGGTAAGCAGGAAATTTCTTCTTTCAGGTAGGGCATGGATGAAACATTAGGTCAAGCATGGGACCGATATAAAGGCTTTTTGAGAAAGACGCCTACTCATGGTTTTGATGAACCTACAATAGTCATTTTATTCCTTGGAGGTCTAAGCTCACAAACTAAATTGATGCTAGATGCCTCAGCTGGAGGTAATATCAAGTGCAAGACTCCAAAGGAAGCTTATGATTTGATTGAAAATATGGCTACAAAGAAGAAATATTTAGATCGGGGAACAATTGAAGTACAGGGAAATCGTAGTGTGATTTTGCAGAAGACATTTCCTCCTAAAGTCAAAGATCCGGGAAGTTTTACTATTCCTTGCACTATTGGGAATTGTGATGTAGGAAAAGCTCTAATTGATTTAGGGGCTAGTATCAATTTGATGCCCTTATCAATGCTAAAGAAGATTTGTGGTCTTAAGGTCAAACCTACAAAGATGGTGTTGCAAATGGCGGATAGATCTACCAAGAATCCCTACAGTATAGTGGAGGATGTTGTGGTACAAGTTGACAAACTTAAATTCCCAGTGGATTTTGTGGTGATCGAGATGGGGGAGGATTTGAAAATCCCTATCATTCTTGGAAGGCCATTCATGAAGAGAGCTAAGGTTGTCATCAATGTAGATGATGGAGTTTTAATGCTTAAACACCAAGATGAAGAGGTGATTTTCATGTCTTTGATGATGGGCAACCGATTCAAGAGAAGAAGACTATCCCAAAAGATACAAAGTTGTTAAAGACTAGTGTATCTAAACAAGTTGTTGCCTCAGTCAAAGGAGGTAAGAATTGTTTCTTGTCACAAGAAAAGGAAGAGGAGAAAAAGATTACAGAGAGGATAGTCCACCAAGACTTGAAGTGAGAAGAGGAAGAATTCAAACCTGGCACACCAGTCAAGTACAGGAACATGTTATGGGTTATGAAGGAGATTAAAGTGAATGGATTGATTGAGATTAAGCTCCACATTCTAGAAGAGTTAAGAAGGTGGACCGGAAGTTGTTGAAGATAAGCTGGTGTGATGAAAGCAAGAGAAACACCAACATCAAGGCTTTGAACTGAACATTATGGCGTTAGGCTCGTGACCTTAAACAAGCTCTTGCTGGGAGGCAACCTAGTGTTTTTGAGAACTTTTATTTTTTGATTGATTTGATGTGTTTNCATTATACACTATTTTTGTACTAGTGCATTCTCACATCGGACCCCACCCAACAAATGTGCCACCTTTATTGGACTACCACAGGCCACCATGCGAAGTCTTCTTCTCCAACGCGTCACAACCACCATCTTTGCAAGTTCCACAATGAACCTACCATGCGCTGCCGGCATCCATCACCAGTATGTCCTACAGATGCAACCAGGCCCAACTGGCCCAAATTCTTTCCGCCTCTGCCAATCCAGCCCATGCAGCCTACAAAGGACTCTACTGCTAGCCATAGAAACACACATGGCTACTCCACTAGCACAACCATAAACAACCCTCATAGACCAGACCAGTGCAAACGGATCCCCAATAAGAAATTCCCCAAACTCAAAACCCTAACTTTCTCAATCTGAAATTTAACCCCAATATTGGAACAAACTCCAAAACGTGTTTCAATCCTTGCGCCATTGTTGTATCCCGTCACTCCTCCGCCGCACTTTCGCAGTGCTCTTGTCGCCTCTGCCAATGAGACGCCTACTGGCCGCGAATAATGAACGTTGCATCTGAGCCGTCGCGCCGCCGCTACCAGAATAAAACTAGAAAGAGAAGATGGAAAAAGAAGAACAACTAATCGCCGCACGAACTCCGCTTGTCGCGCCATCTCCATACCATCGTCGTGAGGTCGTTGCCTCCGCTCAAGACATAGGTCATCCTTGCTCCAACGTTGGCTCGTCTACAGTGAAGAGAAATTGCAGAAGCTTCAAGCATCTAGCTTGTGCGAGATGAGGTATAATGAGAGAAAAGTATTCAAAAAGCTATTTCAGGGTGTTAGGCATCATTTGGAATTTTAACCGAGGTCATATGGTGTATATGCCTCGGGTCCCAAGTGAACCGAGGCAGTAGATTGATAACGGTTGATTTAACCATTATTTGAGAGTAAATTTTGATAACAAATGAACCTTTTTTGACTTAGAAACATGCTTGTTCTCTTGTTTTTAGCTTATTTTGCTAAATAAGAGAGTTTATGTTATACTTGAAGATTTTTTCACTAAATTCCCTTGATTTTGTAGGAAATTGGGATAAATTAGAAGAGGAGTTAAATGTCAAGAATTTGGAAATCAGAAAGGACAGAAAGAGCACCAGAAGAGAAGGCTGCTGAAGGTCTCAGGACACTTGGGAGCCCTCCTTTGGGGCCCTCATTGCAGGAGTCTCGCATTCACGCCTGGGCACCCTTTTTGGGGCATTGAGCGCCAATCTTCCTGTAACGTTTCACGCTTGGGCGCCCTAAGTAGGGGCGCTCAGAGGTGTCAACGTTGGTCCATGATCCAATTCATCCCTATTTAAGGATTTGCTTGACCTAGAGGGAGTATCTTTTGATAGAATTGACACAAACTCAGATTTTTCCAACTCTTTGGAGGCAGAAGTGGAT